ATATGTTCAGCTAATGAGCCATTTTTCGGCCCCTGCGACGCGAATTTCGATCAAGGCGTTTCTTTACTTTTCGAACCATTTCTGCTGCTGTTGCTGTTTTCCTCCGTCCACTTCCTTGACGTCGGGCTACGCTACCAGTATCACGGTAACGAGCGATGTTACGAGACACAGAAGATTTATTCACATTTAAATGCTGGAGTACTCTAAGGAGCATTTTTGGTTTTCCAGTCAAATATAAAGAAATCACACAATCACGCCTGAATTCCATCAGGAATAACTTTTTTTGGAATATTCTTACCAAAATGCATTTGTACGCTTGTAAACAATATAATGAGCTGTCACTGGAATAATTTGAACAGCTGTCGGACGAGTGGCTTAGAAATGACAGAAGTCTGAAGTTGGTTGCAGTTTTTTCAGCTCACCCTGTGTACTTTGTAAGGTCTTTCATGGATATTTCGAGGAGTCACAAACGGAATGAGAAAGATAATTATATCCTCCATAGAATGGTGGAGGGTATAATAAGGCCTAACAGGAACTGTTGGAACGATTCTTAAAGTTGACTCATCTCTGTCAAAGTAGCGGTCACTGGTACATAATCACTAATAGTTTCTTTTGTGTAATCTTGTTTCCCATTGCAGGTTACCTCCATTGGGCGTGTGAGCGTTGCTACGAGGTATTTCTTTAAAAAATTAATTCAATCTATGCAATAATTTACATTAATATTATCCATCCATCTTCAGATTCAGATTCAATTTTAATTAATGATAAATATAAGAGATTTCTGCATTCTCCTCAAATTAAAAATAAATTGAAAATATGGCGAAAGAAAATGAATAAAATATTTATCACAAAATATAAACTTGCCATAAAAGACTTCCTTGAAATTGAATTTTCAACATAAATTAAATTGAATGGCTGTAATAATATTCGGAACTCTTACTTTTCATTACTCTCAGGCAACATATTTTACAGTTCATTTACTTGTTAAAACATATGCAAAGTATATTTTAAATTCGTGTTTTTTTTTTTTTTTCAATAAAAAACTTCATGAAAATGGAATGAGAAAAAAATATGCAGCCAAAACCAAACAGTGTCAATGTTCTGATCAAGGGTCTTTAGTATTTTTTTTTCTTTTCTTCTCAAATAGAATTTACCCAAAATTCCTTGCCATTGTTCCTTTAAGGGGTTGTTGGCTTCTTTTGTTGGATGATGTGCGTGTGTGTGAGAGTTTGTTTTCCAAGGATATTTTTTTCGTTCTTCGAAAAGCAAAGAGCTATATCAACGGCAAAAACTATTCCTGTAGTTATTTTAAATTTACTCCTTTGTAGGGAAACTACTTTAATCTGAATTCCCATGGATGCTGTTTGCTGCTATTGCTGCTATTGTTGTTGGTGTTATTGCTGTTATTGCCATTGTTGTCTTTTAGTTATGAAATTTATACGCACTTCTTGTGTAGATGATGGCACTGTATTCTCACCATCCATCCACCACGCCCGGCCCTACCCTACCCCTTAGTTCCCCCCTGAAAACTGGCATGCTTGTGGAGTTTTACTGCAACTGAAGTTGAAATTCCTTAACTGCGTACATTTTCGTCCAAAATGCAACAGAAAAGAAGAATTTTCATTTGTTTTTCTTTTTTTTTCGTAACCAACTTGAAAGAGAGGAGAGAGAAAAAAAGTTGGCACAAAAAATCTACTGCCAAGTATTTTGTTGTTTTTACAACAAATTATGAATGTAATAGGGTGCCTTATACCATATATTAACATACACATACAAGCTAGGAAGTATGTGTGTGTGCGTGTTAGAATGGCAACAGTACATAACTACAAAACACACACATAAAGTTCGTTTTTTTTTTCTTCTGAAGGCAAGGATACCAAAAGAGTAACACACAGAATGGCAGCGAAGAGGTGAAGTATGCTTCCGACAAAAGTTCTTAACTACAAATGGAACTTAAGGGCAATAAGAAAAACTATACGAAATAGAGAGAGAGAAAAAAAAAATGAAAAGTTCAGTAGTTTTTTCTTCCAGCAACCAGCAACAATAAAACGCAACTTGTTTAAACAATAATGCCCAAGTTGAAGTGGAAGGAATAAAGAAAGCCATGCAGTAACATTGGAGAATATGAAATAATTTCCAACAATGGAATAGTAACACAATGGCGAATTTTGATAATGCAATTGAATTGAAAGGGCTAATGAAAAAAAAAATGCTGTCTATATTATTTGAAGTTAATGAACTTATTTGGAAAGCAAGGGGGTGGATTTGGGTGGCGTGTAAGTAACGTTATAAAGTATACGCTACTATGGAAAAATAATAAAATTTCTTTGGCAAAAAAAAGTAAAAATGGGGTCAAGACCTAACTTATTCTATCCCTCACAAAGCAATAATTTTAACATTAGGCACAATGCATCAGTTCGAATATATGTGAAATTTTTGGTTTTTTATTTGAAACTATGTCTACTTATGACGATTGAAGGCTATTTTCGAAACAAGGGACATTTATGTCTTTGCCGCGGTTAACATTGTCATTTTTATAACCCTCCACCATACTATGACTTAACTTTGTCATTCCGTTTGAAACTCCTCAAATTACTCATGTCAGACCCAACAAAGTATATATATTCTTGATCAGCGTAAAATTCTAAGTCGATTTAACGATGTCCGTCTGTCTGTCTGTCCGTCTGTCCGTTTGGCTGTTGTAATCACGCTATCTTTCGAAGGAATTGAGATAGAAGGCTAAAATTTTGCACTTATGTTTATTTTTTCAGTAGGCAGGTTAAGTTCGAAAATTTGGTATTTGAAGTTCGAAATAAATACTACAGCCTAAGACAGAAAATTATCTGTGCAGGTCCACGTCTTTGGTGCTTTATTCACCGTAATTGTTTCAAGTTACGTATTTAGAGTTCGTAATGGGAACTATAGTCTGTGACAGAAAATTGTCTATGCCGGTCCAGGTCTTCGTAAAGGGCCCATATACCAGTACCTCCTTATATTCGGTATTTTGACGATTTTAGGTACAATACTCACCGAAATCGTTTGAGATGTCGTATTTCATGTTCGTAATGGAAGCTTCATATTATCTATGCAGGTCCAGGTCTTCGTATAACTCCGATATAACGGTACCTCCCTATAAACGATATTTTGACAATTTTAGCTACATTATTCACCTTTTATTTCAAATTTCGAATTTGAATATGGTAATGACTAATGACAAACAATGCCTATATAGGTCCACGTCGTATATACCCCAATATAACGGCTATATTCGGTATTTTTAAAATGTTAACAGAATTTTTTAAGGATTTTATTCCCAAATTCGTTCCAAATGGTGGAGGGTATTCAAAGTTCGGCCCGGCCAAACTTACTGCTTTTTAACTTGTTATACACTATTTTGAAGTAACTTTCAAATATTCAAATATTATGGAGAAAGTCTCCAACACGTTATTGATTCAAATTACAAAACCTGGACTGCACTATGCAGTTTAAGCAAGGACTTTCCAAAAATTTAATACCACTGCCACTTTTGCAAAAAAAGACTTCTTAAAATCGACCTTTTATGAAACGTACTCAATGGTGCTACATTTGGTAATGTGTGAAGAAATAGGGCTGGCATCCTCATTCCCGGCGAAGCGCTTGATTGAGGTGATCGACACTTTGGTATTTTTTACTGCCAACCTTGCTTTCCGAAATACTTTAGACACAACAGTCCAATGGATTGGTATCCAGAGATTTTGGTGGCCATTGTGCGCTGCAAATGAAGCGAGGGACCTCATTTTGTAACCATTCTTGGGTGGCGCGTGGTGAGTGCGATGTTGCCGAGTCCTGTTGCAATGTCCAAGTTCTGCGACTAATATGTTTGCGTGCCCAAGGCTTTAATACACTCTCCAGAATATTTTCGCGAAATACGTGATTAATAGCGAACCAAACAGTCACCATGGCCGGCGCTTGAGTTCTGGTGGCCAACCGAAGGTGCATATTTTCAGCTGACCTCTTTGGCAAGTAAACACGATCCACTATCATTTTTTTTACAAAATGCTGGACAACGAATGTTTTCTCATCGGAGAAAACCAAATTCGGCAGTTCACCACTTTCGGCCAAGCAGAGCAACTCTTTAAGTTCTTGCATTTTTTGGAATTTCAATGGCTTTACCCCGAGGCGGGTTTCGATCAAGTCGCTTCTTTACTTTTCGAACCATTTCCGCTGATATTGCTGTTTTCTTCCGTTCACTTCCGATGATACGAGACACAAAAGATTTATTCACATTCAAATGCTGGAGTGTTCTAACGATAGACACTTGAGGTTTTCCAGCCAAATATAAAGAAATCACACTTGAATTTTATTACGAATAACTTTTTTTTGGAAAATTTTCACTAACATGCTTTTGTACGCTTGTTAACAATATAATGAGCTGTCACTGGAATAAGTTTAACAGCTGTCGGACGAGTGGCTTAGAAATGACAGCAGTCTGAAGTTGGTTGTGGTTTTTTTTATCTCACCATGTATATAGATATATATTATTCTCATAACATATTACCTCAATGTTTATTAAAGGCTATGTTATAAAATATGCCAAGCATATGTAAAGTGGTGTTTTGTTCATAACAATTTTCGTAGCATACTTTCAGGAGATACAAACAATTTTTCAACTAAAAAGTGGTAGTTACATATGTTTATCTTATGGTATTGTATGTTTTGTCAGGTATAGTATGACTTTAGGTTTAATTTGGTTGGCAGCGCCCAGACCCGACCATATATCAGTAAATCAAATTTCATCGGAAAGTAAACTTTTGATATACTGTTTGATATTAGATTTATAATATAGAAAAATTATCTAGAGTTTGAAATAATATAAATTTGTTTAATTTTTAATGTTAAGTTTAATTTTACATTCCCATGAACTCATCGCAAGATTTTCAATCTTTTTTTTAATATTTTTAAATAATTTATATAATTTAAAATTTTCCTTAAATAATGCATAGCAAAAAACGAACACTCACCATCAAAATACACGATATGCCAAATGGATAACACCACCATGTTTCCAGTGTTATTGTTGTTGTATTACTATATACAATGAATAGGGCGTCAGTGCACAGTTTGATTAACAGCAGGCAGCCAGTGCGATACAATAGACCAATTCTGGAAAGAGGAGTTGTTGGTTTTTTACTGTTTTGGTTGTATTGTTGTTGTTTTTGTCAGTCAGAAGTGAATGAAAATAAAATTGTTATACATTTTTTTGTATTATTTTGTATACGAAGTAAGTGTTAAAGTTAATAACTATAAACAAAAGATAAAAAATAGATATGTATGAGTTGGTGGCAGTCTCTGTGTGTGTCCCAATGAACATTTTTAGAGGAACCATTATCATTTTATATTTTTGTGAGTTTTAACTAATAACACTGCAGTATGAAGTAGAAGAGAATGTGGAAAGTTGGTTTTTAGCTCAATTCGGTTTTATGTGCCAAAATCCATCTATTCCATTTTTTTGGGCTTATTCAGTACATAAACCTGAAATCAGATTAAGGAGCTACATCCAAAACTGAACTAATATCGACAAAATTTGTCAGAGATATTTCCGGGCTGTAACTGGTAGCTCGTACGGAATATCTGTGGTGTCGAGTGCATATTACGGAGACCCATGTATGAGTCTTATCCGATTTGTTATTTCAAAACCGCTCAGCCGTGTGGTGTAGGGTATGAGAGTCAGACTTTATCTTTATCTAATAGTGACACTCGGAGAATTTTTTTATATTTATCAAGATTTTAGACCTTAGGAGTGGAAAATGATGAAAATCGGATTAATATATATTTTTCGCCCTTGGTGAAGAAGGTGCCATAGGTATTGGTCAACATTGCCGATTTTCGACACTCATCTAAGTCAGAAAAGCATTTTTTTTACAAATTTTATTAATTAGTCGATTTTTAAAGACGAATATTAAAAATTTCATACATGACGATCTGTGATATTTTCCATGTTATAGTTAACGAGAGCACCGATATAAGTCCCACATTAAACTGTGCCCAAGGGTTCAAAAGTTTCCTCACAGTTTTTGCTGCTGAACTCTTGTCTTCGAGGGGTCGAAACGTTCAATCTAGGTTATAGAAGTTGAAAAGGTTGAAAGGTCTCCCGTCTATGAGTTTGGCACATCGAAAAGTCTGAGAAGTAGCACCTTCTAGTTTCTGATCTGGTTTAGCTGTAGCCGAAACTTCTCATCACATTTTTGTATGGACGAAAGGACGGCTTGTTGCTTTTGGGACACAGAAAACCCGCCGGCATATATTGAAAAGTGGATGTACCCAAATTTTTTTCCTTATAGAACTTGAGTTGAACTTGGCGGATTTCTGGTGTTTAATTCTCAGTAAGTTCGAAATAAATACTACTTTTCGCAGAAGCCATTAGCCACACCAAATATGATTGATGAGACGCTTAACCCATTGCGAAACGCGTCGCATAATGGTAAGTGTGTGATAGTTTTTATCTGGCATTCATTTTCACTGCAAAGTAGAGATCATTAACCTCGCCTTTTCTTAAAGTGAAATTTGATTAAGAATATTCTTGCCTTCGACGTCACCCGCTTTAAACTCTGCTTTGAAGCAGAATTCAGCATAATTCACATAAAGAACCACTTTCAACCTTAAATGTGTATTTGATATTTATAAATTCCTAGCGTTTGGCTAAAATTAAGACTTTTTGTGCTAAAAGGGAGTTGTTAACCATATTCCGAAAAAATGGATAAATTATAAAAAGTCCTCTTTGTTGACTCGGAATTATTAAAAAATTAAATGTTGAAGCACAGTGTAACGTAAATATAGATCTTATGGTTGCGGCAACTTGTAGTGAATCTTTGGTGAAAATATGATTAACATTAATGTCATCATCCTCAAACGATGTTGTATGAGACTATTTTGAATTAACTCAGATGGAGTGCTATTTTTATACCCTCCACCTTACATAGTATGGAGGATACGATATCGTATAACCACCATATATCTGTACCTCCCGATATACGGTATTTTGATGATTTTAGCCATATTTTTAAATGGAATTACCTAAAGTTTTAGGAGTTCTCTGTGAGTGATTTACTCCCAGAAAGAGAATTTTCTATATAGGTCCACGATATCGTATAGCCCACATAGAACGTTACCCCCGATATTCGGTATTTTGATGATTTTGGCCATACTTTTAATGGAATCTGAAAATTTACACAAGGAGTTCTCTCTCAGTACTTTACCCCCTGGAAGAGAATTGTATATATAGGTTGTATATGTAGGTCTACATTTTAGTATAGCACCCATATAATGCTACCCCGAGATATTCGGTATTTCGCGGCACTATTCACCTGAATTGCGTCAAATTTCCTGTTTGAAGTTCGTAATGGGTACTAAAACCTATGACGGAAAATTGTCTATGCAGCTCCACGTCTTAGTATAGCCCCCATACAACGGTACCTCCTTTTATTCGATATTTTGATGATATTAGCGACATTATTCACCGGAATAGTTTCGAATTTCGTATTTGAAGTTCGGAATCTGTAGTACAGCATATGACAGGAAATTACTTATCCAGCACCATGTTCTCTTATAGTCCCCATATAAATGTTTTGATTTGAGCGGTATTTTTAGACTGATTTTTTTTTTAGATTTTCAAATTCTTTCCGAATGGTGGAGGGTATAAAAGTTCGGCCCGTTAGCTCTAAAACGTTTTACCGACATTGCGGAAAATGTTGGTGTATTCTGAGTTTTATTGTAGAATTGTGTGCTTAACAACTTTGTAGAGTATTCAGATCTGATACGAATTTTAACAGAATTTAATTTGGCTTAAAACGACTTAAAAAGTATCAGCTAGTTTTGCCCACAGATGTATACCCTCAGCCTATGTCCGTTTATAAGTTTGATACACACATTGCGATGAGCCATGTTTGGACTACTTCATCCACTTACCACTTATTCTGGTAGGAGTGGGTCGAAAACAGTCTCATATTCTCATCAAATCTCTGGTTGTGTAAAACTTCGAGATTTACTTAGTCCAAAGAGAATTACTGACATGTTCCGCAGGTAGCTGAAGAAATGGTCCGCTATATTCTATCTTCCCACCAGATATTGTGTTTCTAGATGTATTTGGATGTGAATTTTATGAGCTTTATTTTTACTCAATATTTTGACCCTTTGTGAGGAAGGTACTTGAAAATCTTGACTACTAGAAATAGTTAAACAGATATTACCCATCTCCGAACTAGATCTAAGTTTGACAGTAATATTACGATATGCCAAGTTTGGATACTCCCTTCGAGAGTTATCGTGCACACCAGCCTGCAAGGCAGACAGATGGACGGACGGACACCACTAGGTCGATTCCAAATGCCCTGAAACGGATTTGGTCGAAAGGGTCCACTATTTCGATGAGGTACGTTTTGGTTGTATTAATGTCCGCGCTTGTGTCGAAGACCGAAAATTCATGGATTACAAGGAATTTAACCTCGAAAATTCATATTCAAATTCAAAAATGTATTCATATAAGGATCTTTTTCATTATATTTTGATTATCCACGATGTAAAGTTTTAAAACGTCGATGCACGCGTCTCATATTTTTTGCCTTACTTTCTAATCTATTCGGATTTTTTCCCGGAATTTTAAGAAAAATTGAATTCTTTCGTATAAGTTTTTTTCGTCATCTGTAAGAGAAACAACTTCAAAATTTCGGACGAATGGTGATAAAAACAAGAGCATTGAAATGTCGTCTTTTAGAAGTACGAAAAATACTATAATGTGCAAAATTATTACTGAGCGATTTATATCCGCTTGAACTTTGAAATTTTGCATGAGGCCAATTCTGCAGTGCAGATATTAAAAATAGTAATTTTTAAGACTTTACACTTCGATGGTAAAAAGTGTCGTAATATTGTTTTGAAATCAAAAAAATAAAAATATAATGAAATATTGTTTTATTTTTTTAGGAAATGTTGTTTAGATATGTTCACTGGGTTGCACACACAACCTACTCAACTCCCACCACTTACCTTTGTCTCATCGCTGTATTGAATTTATCTAGTTGATGCTGTTGATGTATTGGTGTTGACTGTGGCGGCGGCTGTTGTTGTTGTTGCTGCTGATGTGGCAATGCCATGGCATTGTTTGGGCCACGACGATTTTTATGCCACAGCCATAAAAGTTTTTTGATTAAAATCGCAAATAGGGCAAAGAATAACAAAATGAACAAAATATCAACGCACAGAAATAAAATAAAACTTAAGGATGGTCCAATCATGCCGGCAGTCGACGAGGACGAGGATAACATGGAGTCAGCAGCAGAGGATGATGACTGCGATGATGAGAATGTGGGTGACCATAAAGTAGCTGGCGAGGTATAGGATGTGGCTCCCATATCCGCACTTTGCATTGTGGTCGTGGCATTAAATTCCAACACACTATCGCCATTGCTTAGCAGAGGTGGGGGTGGTTCGCTGCCCAGTGTTGTTGGTGTTAAATGGCTGCGTAATTGTGTGAAACCATCTGTAATTGTTGTCGTTGTTGCGAACGATGATGTTGCTGTTGTTGTGCCATAAGCGGCTGCAGCGGCAGCAGCAGCTGTTGTGGACATGGTTACTCCTGCTGCTACTCCTCCTGATGAAGTCATGGAATGGCTCATAATTTCCAGCCACCAGTTCTGTGGCCATTTACCGTTAATTGTACAAATTAAAGGCGATGTTATCGCAAATAGTAACGGTAGTAACCAACTAATGCCAATGGCTCCTCTGACACCAGATGCGGCCATGGTCGTTTGTTTCCCAGCACCACCACCACCACCACTCCTGCTGCTACTACTCCGGGACATTGTCTTGCTAAATCTTGCCGGTGGCTTCAACAATGCCGATGCCGAACGTCTTAGCAGGGTATGCTGTGAATTGCCATCATTGCGCGATGTGTCCGAATCTTTCCGGGCATTGTGAACCGGCGTTGTAGTGGTGCCACTAATTTGGGTGATACTTATGTTATTGCTGCTGGCCAGCGAATCAGATGTTGCCGATGTTGATGAGGCCGACAATGGTGTTGTGGCCTTTTCCTGGTCCATTTTGGAGTGTTTGGTTTTCTTCAGTGCCGTAGTGGTTGCTTTTGTTGTTGCCGATGGGGTTTTGTGTGGCGGCGATCCACTGGCCACGGTGGTCATTATGTTACCGGTGTTACCAGCTTTTGTCGTTGTTGCAGAATTTGTTGCGGATTTCTTATTTAGTTGATGCTGTTGTTGTTGTTGTTGTTGGTGGTGGTGCATTACCTTTTTCGGCACCAATTCCGAGTGTATCACTAATGCAATAGCAATTAGTGTAGAGATACCCAAGAGCAGCAATGATGCCAGTGATGAACTAATTACCGGTTGCCAGTTCTGTGAAAGAGACCGAAAACAAAATGGGAGAAATGAGACCAGTAATTAAATAAATAAAATGGGTGGGTAATTGAAGAAAACAGGGATTTACAAAGGGAAGAACATAATGATAACCAAAAAGGGACATAATTTCGAGGATACAATTTTTTCTATTCAAAAAGTTTATCCAAAGATAAAAAAGAATTATCCAAGGATGATTTTATTTTACGGAAAAAGAGTTTATCCAAGGATGATTTTTTTTAATATACCGCAAAAGACTTCATTCACTCATGAATTTTTTCCCATACGGAAAAATAGTTCATCCAAGGATGAATTTTTTCCTATACGGAAAAAGTATTCATCCAAGGATACATTTTTTTCCTATATGGAAAAAGAGTTAATCCATGGATGAATTTTCGTCCTATACGGAAAAAGAGTTCATCCATGGATATTTTTTTTTCGGATACGGAAAAAGTGTTCATCTATGGATGAATAGTTTTCCTATACGGAAAAAGGGTTCATCCATAAATGAATTTTTTCCTATGCGGAAAAAGAGTTCATCCATGGATATATATAGGCAAAAAGTTTCATTCATGGATGATTTTTTTTCCTAACTTTTTTTATTTTAAACGGAAAAAGAGTTAATCTGACTATTAATTTTTATACTCTCAACCATATGGCTAGACAGGGTATGTGTCATTTGATACGGCTAAAACGTGCCTCATCGAAATAACGGATGCCTCATCTCTTTGGACCAAAACCGTTTCAGAACATTTGTAGTCGATCTAGCGATCTCCGTCCGTCTGTCTGATTGGCTTGTGGTCACGAAAACTCCCAAAGCAGTATTCGATTTGGCCCAAACTTGATACATCGTAATAAAATTATCAAATTTAGATCGAGTTCGGACGTGGGCAATATTGGTCCACGCTTTCTGATATCTCCCAAAAATGCCCAAAATTAAAAAAAAATATATATTTTACTGCAGGATAATCCGACTTTGCTCCAACTTTGCAAATCCTTACACAGGGTGAGATAAAAAAGCTGCAACCAAATTCAGACTGCTGTCATTTCTAAGCCACTTGTCCGACAGTTATTAAAATAATTCCAGTGACAAAATTTTCCAAAAAAAAAAGTTATTCGTGATGGAATGCAAGCGTGATAGTGTGATTTCTTTATATTTGGCTGGAAAACCGCAAGTGGCCCGACGTCAAGTAGTGCACAGAAGAAAACATCAACATCAGCAGAAATGGCTCGAAAAGTAAAGAAGGGAATTGATCAAAACTTGAGTCGCAGTGGCTGAAAAATGGCTCGTGAGCTGAACATATCGCATTACTAGATTCGGCAAATATTGGAAAATCAGCTCGGGGTTAAGCCATTGAAATTCCAAAAAGTGCCAGAACTTACATCGCAACAGAAAGAAATAGACTCAAAAGAGCTAAAGAGTTGCTTCGCTTGGCCGAAAGTGGTGAACTGCCGAATTTGGTTTTCTCCAATGAGAAAACATTCGTTGTCCAGCAGTTTGTAAACAAACAAAAGGATCGTGCTAACTTGCCAAAGAGGTCAGCAGAAAATGTGCAAAGGTGACCAATTCGGACAAATGTAAACTTATTTTAAAATTTTAAGCTATATCCGATATTTTTTGCTTTCATTCAATAAAATTTAAAAAAAAAATATTTAAATTACGGCGTTTGACTTTTTTACAGTTTTTTGATCTCACCCTGTAGTCGGTCCCGCCCGACTTTTGACTTTTCCTTATTGGTTTAAAGATGGAAAATAAAAACAAAAATTATTTTTTTTAGCATAAGACACCTGGCTGGCTCGATTTAAATTAGAGATGATCATACTTTGGACCAAACCGAGTACTCATAACCAAGCAGATAGGCGGACACCGCAATGGGTTATTCCAAAAAGACATAGGGTCTAAAACCATTATTTCGACACATTTGTGATACCTTACAAACTAGGCTCGTTTTTGAATGCGCATTAAAAGGATATAATATATAGGAGGTATATCGTCCCCTTAATTGATTTCTGCTAAATTTGGCAGAGGAAGTAGTTTCTAAGCCGATACTCAGCAAAATCCATCCTATTTGGGCTGATATTACCCTTTTCAGGCACAATAAACTTGTAATCGGATAGAGACACATAATGGAGTTATATTCACATCTGAATCGATCTTTATAAAATTTAGCAGAGGTATTTCTATTCTGTCCAAATATAGCTTTTGCAGAGACATATATATGAGACCTATAGCGGTATCGTCACTGATTTTCATCAAATTTGAAGTGCTTGCTTCTACGCTGAATTCGGTCATATGTTCCAAAATTCAATTCATTAAATTTTCACCAAATGTGACATAAATGTTTCTAGGCCCAATATGGTCGTATGTGCCAAATTACGTCCTATTTGTATTAATATTATATATTTGGAGCACAATAAAGGGCACATCGGACGAAGACATGTATGAAACGTTTTCTAAAATTTTGGCCGATTATCTCCAATTTCAATAGGGGTCAAACTTTAACATTTTCTAAAAATTATCACAAATCTCATATAAAGTGATGGAAGTATGCAATATAGTCCAAACCCGGCACGTCCCAATATTTATATCATATTTATTAAGGTTCGATACGAAATATTGGCGCATTCCGTCGGAAGCTTCTCCATAAAGGGTCATAATTTGAATAATCATAACAGAAGTCAAAATATATTTAAATTATCGAACATTGGCTGTGGGTATACATCTGTCGGCAAAACCAACTGATACTTTTTAAATTGTTTCCTATACGGAAAAAGAATGAACTACGGTTTTTTTCTAATTAAGGAAAATTCTTCAACATTTTCTCATTCTTTATTCCAAATTTAAAAATGTTATTTATATGCCGTTAATTCCATTTGCCACTCATCATTTTCCCATAAATATTTTATTACCTTGTCTAATATCGTGATAATAATATTATTTTGTTACATCCCCTTTTAAGTACTACCCACTTCTTTTATGGCTTTATTTCTCCAAGACTTTAAAGCGTTTTAATTGCGTAAACGATAATTTTTCAACGGAACAAATATTTTTCCAAATGACCTTCGCTTATAAATCAAGCTTAGCAAACCTTTATGGATGTCTTTCACATCATTAACTGTAATGTTCCTCGTTTTATACGCTTCTCAACAATTAGTGATAAATCCTTTTAACGGCAACCGATAAATAAGTGCTACCCAGTTGATAAGTAAAAAAGAAGACTGGTTTATTGGCCAATTTATTTTGCTTCAGAAAATTTGCAATGACTTATTTTCCTCGCTGAGGCTTAATTGTTATGGCAATGGAAAAAATTGGGAGAAATGATTTGTAAGTTTGGGGGAATGATAGAAAAGTGCTTAGGTGGTAGAATGAACATTGGAAAAATTTTGAACTCGAATTTTTTTTTAATTTATTTTCATGTTGCCCTGTATCATTCATATCCCATAGCTGAATGAAGAGACACATTATCAAGGCCATGTATGAATATTTATTCAGGAATTTCATTAAAATGTCATTATGTCTTAAAATGCTCGCAAAAAAAAGACAAAACCGTAAGAGAACAATTAATCTCATCTGAAGAGCAAACATAATTATTTGTTTGTTTTATTAATTTGCTTTCGCATGCTTTTTGCTACTTTTCCGTCCTACTGAGATTCCCTTCGACAGCCATGTGAGTAAATATTTCTCTTTGGCATAATTTCAGAGATTTCATGAAAATGAATTCTTAAGTGACATAAATCACTTCTCCGAAACATGTCTGAAAATTTGTTTGTTCTTCTTGAAAGTAGAGCTTTTTTGTTCGATTATGTACGAGTAATGCAATATTCTAGGAATTGAATAATGAGTTTTTCATGGATACATGTAACAAATTCTTCCCTATAATTTAATGAACATATTATAAAAAAAATTTGGAGGCTGTAATAATTTTTGCAACAAAAAAGAAAAAAAAAAAAAGAAAAGTCGTTAAAAATTCTGTTCAAATCTTAAAAATACCGAATGTAGCCGTTATATTAGGGCCTATACGATGACGTGAACCTGCATATGCAAAATACCGAAAATAGGGTGGTACCATTATATGGGGGCTATATCAAAACGTGGACTTACACAGACAATTTTATGTCATCGGCTGTAGTATCCATAACGAACTTCAATTACCAAATTTGAAACAATTCCGGTGAATAATGTCGCTAAAATTATCAAAATACCGAATATCGCGAGTTTCCGTTATATGGGGGATATACGAAAACGTGGATCTGCATAGACCATTTTCTGTGTTAGGCTGTAGTATCCATTACGAACTTCATATACCAAATTTGAAACATTTAAGGGGAATAATGTCGCTAAAATCATCAAAATACTGAATATAGGGAGGTACATGTAGGTCCACGTTTTGATATAGCCCCCATATATATCAAAACGTGGACCTACATGGCATATTTTCAACACAAAAGTCCTGCAGACATAATATCCATTTGAGTACAATTTTATCAACCTACTTTATTTCGTTTGGAAGCTAGAGTGATTTCCACAGACGGATAGAGGGATAGACGGACGGACATCGGCAAGTCGATATAGAATTTTATGCTGATCAAGATATTGTAGGGTCTAAAATGTATTTTCGAGGTGTTACAAACGGAATGACAAACTTAATATACGCTCCCTACAATGGTGGAGGGTATAAAAATATATTTCCCGCTCAATTTATAGAATTTAGTACTTTTCGTACACTAGTTAGCACGCCGTCACAAACACTGTCCACTTTCTAAGCAATAGTTATCCTCATAGCCAAATTATTAAGTTCAGCTCTTTTCCTTTTTTTTATAAACAATATAGTACCATTTAGTACTTTTCGTCTACTATTTCGCTTTTCCAAATTGACCTCCTTATCTAAACACGTCACACAATATTCACAATACCAGCAGTTTTCCCACACCCCATACCAAGTTTAGTACCTTTCGTACATGGTACAGTACGCTTTTCCAAATTCGCCACGATATCTAGG